AAATAGGTGTACTGCAGTGGATCTGAAAGTGATACAAGACAGAATTGCTCCTGGGAAGAGAAGCCTCCCTGCGAGGCCAACCCTGAGGATGTGGACTGCCATTGTATTCTTCCTCCTGATTTCCTTCTGTATATGTGAACACAGGTTTTCTGTCCTGAAAGAGAGAGGAGTCCATGTAGTGCGAATAAGCAGGCTTACAACTGCAAAGCAGTGCAGGCAGGCTTGTCGAAGCCCAGGTGCTTCAGGTAAGGTTCTTGTCCCCTAGCTGGAATTCCAGCTGGGTTTTCTGTTCCTTAAAGATCTCCTCTGCTCCGCCGAAAACTGTATTTCTTAATTCCAGTTATTAACAGGCATTTACAGTTACAGCTTCTCTGTGCAGTCCTGTGGGGCTAAATAACTTCTGACCATTTCCCAGGGCCCTTCTAGCTTCCGTAAGAAACAGCACGCATATGTGCATGGTGTGCACTGGTGGTGTGCAAACGATGTTGGGGCACTCGACTCGAAGCATGATTATTCCATGCTGCCAGATGTTTGCAAGTGAACAGTGCGGTTGTAGAAAGCCGCACTGGAATGCGTAGTCTTCGCTCGCTGGTATTTATGTGTGGGTTTTATCTGCCTTAGAAGAAACCATTTGTGTCCTGCAACCAAGCACAAGGTTAAACAAGTCTGGGGAGAGGGCAGCCTTCTACTGTCTGCCTCTGAGGTGTCTTTTAAAAGCGTTAGACTATTAAATTAATCTTTCAGAGCTGTCTTTATGAAGGAACCTGTTCTATCTAGCTGCGTGTGAAAGCTTGTAGCACCTACAAATAACTGGTGATGCTGTGGTGAAGATGACACCTTGGCTCAAGTGGATGAATGTCTGATAATCAGATTGATAGGAACATCATAAAGATGCTTTTTTTAACGCCCAGTCCTTTCAAACCTTTACCTTAAACGTGAGACATCCCTTTATAGTGGAAAGAAAGCACCTTCATAAACTGGTTTATTTAGGAGGTAAAATATGAGTGGGTTTGTCTCCCAGGCACTAGAGCTGTGAAAACTTGAGCTTCTGCTGTTTAAGATGGTAAACCCTAGAGAGATGTCACGCTGACTGTGCTGACACGTAGGGTCTGTAGCACTGCATGTTTGTCTGTTCCACCTGATAATACCTAAGCACTGCACACGTCGTCTTAACCTCCTGATAGCTTGATAAGGATAGAAAAGGTGCTCAACTGCCTCTTCCCGAGGAGGGACATAAGGAATTCAGTCTGTAAAATCAGGGCTGGGAGCTGATCTGAGTGCATGTTTCTTCCTGGTTTCAACCACTTTTCTTATACCCTTCACCTCGTTCTCTCCTGACATGTTTTGTACAAAGCGAGTCCAATTGAGTGTTAGCTTTGTTGGGTAGAAGGAGTTGAGCCTCTCGAATTAGGTGATCTGTTCCATCTTTCAGGAAACCACAGAAAACTAAACCCAGAAGCATCAACCTTTTCAGGTTTTGTGTTCTGTATTAAACCCACTCAAGCAATTTAATTCCCATTTGTTACTTGGTGCCCAGTCTGTCGCACTACTTGGTGTCAAGAGAGATAGATGGAAAAGATACAGACTCTTGACATAAAGATATAGCCATGTGTGAAGAAATCATCTGGAGAGAAGGACCTGTATGTAGACACATCCAGAAGGAAGTTAGTGAGTATGAAGGGATGCCAGGAGAGAGGCCCTTCCTGCTGTGATGAGTTTATTTAGCTCATGTTGGGATTTGACTTACTAAAAGGCAATTTCTGTGGTCGCTCCCATGGCTAATGGTATTATTGTTCAGTGAAGGAGGAGTAAATTTCTGTGTAAGTCTAAGCATTGAGATGAGAGCTGTCTCTCATCAGTGGTGAGATGGGTGTCTTTTTAGTTTTGGCTCACTCTTTGCCCTCATTAAGACTCCAGATGAATGCTAGCATTTAGGTAGGTCCAACTGTAGCTCTTTATCCCTGTCTGGCTGGGTGAATTGCTGCTGTTAGGGGATGTTGGTACCAGAAGACAAGCAGGTAGATAGGCTGCAGCTGCTAAATTGATTTAATTGGCTTTCCAGTTATTTTTACTAAGGCTGAGTCAGGATCCTTTAAAGGCTGGACCTTCCAGCTCTTGGTTTCGTTTTTTTAATTCTTTAATTCCAGCCATGAAGCTGTGTGTTCAGTATACAGTGTGTGGCAACCCATTTTCCTGCTTTCAGGTAAACAACACTGTAATTGGTCTGTGCCCTACCAGAATCACTGCATCCTCTTAGAGTGTCATCAGCCGAGCATGTGCCAGAATGTCAGAGAAGAAGACATCAAAGACCTACTTGCAGGTAACGCCATGCTTCAGGCTCCTGCGAAATCCAGGATCCTGGTCCTTGTGCTTTAAATGCCTGCGTTTAGACCTTGAGTGGCTTTCAGCTGAGGGAGATGGGTTGTGAAATGCCTGCAGGATGAGTCTGTAGGTGAAGTGGGTTCATTGGAAAAACTTTCACTAGCCTGGTTAAGGGCTCTAGCACTTACATGTGCATAATGTGTCTGAGTAAGTTTTGTAACTGTTACTGAGCAACGGTTTGTCTCCCCGTTGAAGCTATTCAAGCCATTTGCACTCCACACGCTGCCCTTTGGAAATTAAAGCCATAACAGATGTATTTAGATTTTTTTTAAGAGAAAGGAAAATGTCTTGGCATTGGGTTTTTTTTCTGCGATTGCCAGGATTTTGTGCCAGAGGCAGCAGGCTGCTTCTATAATCAAAGCAGCCTTAGCAGCAATTGCTCATGGTGGCTTTCCAGTGCCAGGGTCTTCAATTTTAATTAAGTGACACAATAACAAAATGGAGCTTGTTGGCAATTGGGGAATCAATCTTCTAAAGTATGTGTCAAGAGTTCACTGTACCCACGTTTAAAAATAAAAAAACTGTTCATGGTTCTTTTGGGCTGGCAAAGGTTTCTCTGCAACGTAGCAACCAGACCTTTGATACGTAGACGGGATTTATGTCACTGTAAATCTAGACCACTAGCTGCGAAGAAAATTCTCCTGAAGTATGAAGGTGCTAGTGGAAATTTCCACTCAGTTTTGAGAGGTGAAAATTATGAATCTAAGCATGAAGGCTTTGTTGATGCTGTGTAACTGTGAAAGCCTGAGTCTTCTTTTCAGGAGCTGGCATTCGTACACTGCTCCTGTGGATAACATGCTTCTGTGTTGTAGCTCTGTACTTCATTACCCCCCTTTTGTGGAATTAATGCCCTGGTTGGGCAAATGCCAGAGGTACGTAGCAAAAGGGAAAAAAGCCCAACAACCAAACCCCCCAAAATACAAAAAAAACCCCAGCCTCAAAACTCCCAAAGGGATAATGTGCCCTAAAGGCAGGGGTCTGAGTTTTCATCTTCTTGCTGACTTCAGGACTGATTTATTCCAGTTGTGCTGCGTGTACTGCAGAATATGTTCTGCTTTGCATGTTGGGGGTATGAGGTCAGATTTGGGCTCGAGAGTTTTATTCTTATGAAACTCATTTTGTCTTTTGAAGAAATTGTTGGTGGGAAAAGGGAAACAGTCTTGTTTCACCACCAAAGCCATCCACAGAGAAAAGAGAGGATGGTGAATGCACGGGTTGACCAACACAACGTGGAAAACCTGTTTTCCTCAATCGCTTGGACTCAGAAGATTCACTTCAGGCATTTGCTTGGGGTTGAGAATGAAGATGTGACAACAAATGCAAGAAAAGAAATTACGAGCAGTGCCACCGCCTCAGAGTCCGCCACAGGGGCCACCACCACCACCACAGAAACTACCACCACAGGGGTCACCACCACCACCACTGCCACAGCCGCAACAACAAAAGTTGCAAATGCAACTGTCCTCACTACAGCTTTTGAAACAACTGCCAAAGCCTCCAACACCCCTGGAGGTTCCGATCTCCTTGATGAAGCCTTGTCATCCACTGCCTTTTCTCCCACTTCCGGTAACATCCCCGCTTCCATTTCCAGACATGTCACCCAGCTTGTGACCACCACCGAAAAATCAGGAGATACTAGCTCTGTCTCTGTATTGCCCCCCACTTCTGCTTCCGTCGCTGTCATTTCTGAAGCAGGTACTCAAATACCTCCAATGGAGCGGTTTAACCCAGCCACCACCAGCTCTCCTCGGACTAGCATTCCCACCACTCTTGGAGCTAGCCCGAAGACACTGAGCACAACATTGACTACTCTCATCCTGCAGGATGCAGAAACATCTGCTGCTGCTTCTACTCGTGCCACACTTGCGTCCGTGGAGAGTTCACACTCTGTGGAATCACTGCCTGTCACTAAGTTGCCAAAAGCAAGTACAGCTACAACATCCTTGAGTAAATCAACTTCTCCTCTGGGCTCTACAAGAGGTGCCATGGTTTTAACAACTGCCTCTGCAGCAGAAACTGCAACTGGGCATGGGATAAAGTCAACATCTCACACTTTTCCAACAACCACAGCTCCAGCAGATGCACCCAAAACAACAGCTTCGGGCTTTGCAGAAACTCAGGGGACAGACAACGAGTATCTTCTCATTGCTGCCGAGCCCCTGACTCAGTACTTGGTGGATAAAAGTTTGCTTCTTGCAGTGCTTTTAGTCGGTACGTTTTTTTTCATAACTGTTCTAGTTCTGTTCCTTATGCAGGCCTACGAGAGCTACAAGAAGAAGGATTACACACAAGTAGATTACCTGATCAATGGGATGTATGTGGACTCGGAGATGTGAAAGGGTGGGGATGAAACAGTGGGCGGAGAGATAGAAAGGAGATGGAAAGCCTGCTGGGCTTGTTTTGCTTTACTATTTGCCTATAATGCAAACTGAAAGTGCTTCCAAATTTACTTCTGGTGCACATGAGGAGAAATGCCATGTATTGTATTAAGGAAAAAAAATGATTCAACCGTGCAACTGGTTGCTGGGGGAAAAAAAAAGTAGTAATTTTAAAAACGTTAATAATGCACACTAGCTTTGGCCATGATATTTTTCATTGCAAAACAGTCGTAACAAGGGGTCAGCCATCATCCTCGCACAATGCCGTGGCACTTTTTCAACTGTTTACAGGACAGGTTCCTTTGTGTTTCATACGTTTCCCGTGTGCTCCTCTGAAAACAAAGCGAGGAACGCTCCCACCTTTTGCGAAGTGCTCTGAAGTCGCCAGAGGAGATGTGTGGAGTGTGGCTGCAAGAGGAAACTTTTAGTCCAGTGTGTTTCAGTATGTTTCTTGCTTGTAAAGAGGTCTGTTTACAAGGCATTGTAAACTTTTGACTGCTAAGCCAAGGTACCTTTTCACCGTGGAGCGGATTACTGTGCCTCTGCACTTAGATGATCTTATTTTTGTATTCACTTAATAAATGGGGCCCTGGAAGGGCGTAATCTTGTTGCATTTCTGTTTTCATTCCTGTCCCTGCCGCTTCAGAAGCAGGCTAGTGGGCTTTTGGAGTTTAAGCACATTAGCTCTACTTCAATATGCCAAATATGGGGGCTTTGAAGACCTCACTGGAAGTACAGACATGTCACAGAAGATGCTGATCATCTCCCAGGGTACTGCTGCTGTAATTTCAGAGCAGTATGCTGATGCTGCCAGTCTCCCAGGTATGCAGACCCATTCACTGCTTACTAGCTTTCATGCGTAGAGCATCAAGCTCTGTTTTGGTTTTTGTTTTGCATTCAGGACCAGCTGTGTTGCTAGTGATTTGGAAACCTTATGCATGTGCAGTTGCAGCTCACTGAAGATCTGCAGCTGAGAGAGTGAGTGGAAAACACTTGATTTTTTTGGCAAGTATTCTTCAGTGATTATTGCATCTTATTTGAGTGACACATACCAATAGCAAAATGCTGGATCAAGATGCATTGTAATTTTGATTTTAACCAAATTGATAGCTTGTCTCTCACTTTGAATTAGTTGGGTCTTCTTTAATCCTGCTTGCGTGTAATCTTGAGGCTGATAATAGGCAAACCTCAGAATTTGAGCTGTTGTGTTTTGGTTTGGTTATTTATCCAAATTCTTTGGCTGTTCAGAATTTGGAGGGAGGCTTCACCCTGGAAGAGATTACTTTGTAGACTTCTTGTTCGTCGTCAAGCTGAAACTGCTAGAAAAACATCTGCAGATAGCACAAGCAGCAGCAGAGGCAAGGGTTGTTTGAAAGAAAGGGAGTTTCAGCAAGTAGAGTATATTGAGGGAATGAGAGGGGTTGCTGTGGAAGCGAGATGACTTGGTTGTCAACGTCAGGTCGCGTTTTGTGGTGCTTTCACTTGGGCCACGTCTGCAGGCCAGTCGGTTAGAGCATCTCTCAGGGTAAAAGGACTGTGGTTTTGGCAGTCTCCCTCCTTGGAGGGCTTGAAGTAGAAGCCACAGAATTCACGTGGCGTTTCCTGGTGGGGAAAAGAAGAAGTTTGAGGGACTGAATTTTATTATTTTATGGTTATTTTTAACTGGTTTCTCCTCAGCGGAAGGGAACTGACCCCTGATTTCTGCCATCTTCCAGGAGCAGCCCGCGGGCAGTATCTATACCACAGGGTGCTGGGAGCATCCCCCAGCACAGCTGGGGACTTGCACCCCATTGAGACGCTGGGGACTGTTCGCCTCTCAGCGCAACTGTTCGGGGCTCTTAGCAGATGTCAGGCAGATGCTGCTCTACAACCACAGAGTCCAGAGACTCCAGGGATCTCAGGTTTCACCTTAATTGCATGACTTGAGCAGGTGAGTCACTACCCACAGATCTAAGCATGTGGTCTTTGAGCTCCGTTTCAGACACTGAGATGAGCTGCCTCCTTGACTCCCTGCAGCCTCTCAAGTAAGGAGATGGGTGTTACCTCACATTCACTCACTACTTTTTCTCCTCATTTAGGCATCTCAGATAAATGCTTGCATTTTGACAGGGTGAGTCCAGGCAATCGTGCTCTTCCTTGTAATTTATCCCTGCCTGTGTGAGTGGATTCCTGGCTGTAGGAAGCGCCTTCCTGCATAAAGGGTCAGTGTTGCAGCTGTTCTGCTAGTGCTCTGCAGCGTTTTTTATTTAAGTTGCCTGAGCCATTTCCATGAAGGCAAACTATGATCATCAGACTTGTACTTGGTTATCCTGGAAATGGGGAAATCTATGGATGAACTTTTCACTGTGGCCTTGTTTCTTTCGGGCTCTGCGGATTTCTTCATAGATGCAAAGTTGGACACCATATTCTGTGGAGGGGAAGCTTGTGAAGTTGTATTAGTTTTTGTTCTCTTCTTTGAAGAAGAGATATTAGAAGAGAAGATCTCTTTGAAGAGGTATTAGACTCCTGTACTGATTTCTTGGAAGGAGAAGGAAGAGAAAGGAGAGGAGGGAGGCATTACTTAAAACTCTTTCAGAGTTTTCTTTTCTAAAAAGAGATACTTTCCAAGATTGGTTTATTAAAAACAAATAAATCCTTTGGGGATAATTTAAGTGGGTATGATATAATTGCAAGAGTTGGAATTGGGTTACAGCTCCATTTAGAAGAGTCTTAGGGAGTTTCTCATGGACACGCTGAGAATATTACAACTACATCGTGGCTAAAAGAAACCACCACCATAAAAATGTTTGTGGCTTCTTAGCAGGTTCTTACAGGAAGGTGAGTACTGATCAGAAGATTGTTGCAGTTCCCACAGCACTGGTACGTTTACATCCCGGTCTCCTTTTCAGAGACTGGCACGGCCTGATTGTTTTGTTCTTATTTGAGTTGCTGCATTTCCACCTGTGAATTACTTTCTCAGCAGAAACTGAGCATTTTAGTGTAAGAGTGAGGCTTGCCTTGCGTTTCTGCACAGAAGGTAGAGATCATCATGCTTACCATTGAATCATAGAATGGTTTGGTTTGGAAAGGACCTTTAAAGGTCATCTAGTCCAACCCCCTCCAATGAACAGGGACATCTTCAACTAGGTCAGGTTGCTAGAGCCCCATCCAACCTGATCTTGAATGTTAGGGATGGGATATCTACCACTTCTCTGGGCAACCTCTTCCAGTGTTTCACCACCCTCCCTGTAAAAAATGTCTTCCTTACATCTAGTCTGCATCTACCCGCTTCCAGTTAAAAACCGTTTCCCCTTGTTCTATCGCAGTGGCACTCAAAGTGCAGTGCCAGCTGGACAAGTGTCAAGATGGTTTTTCTTTGCATCCCAATGGTTTTGTCTTGGACTAGCTCAGTTTAGGCACTAAAAAATAAGAATACTGGGCTGGAGCCTGGCCCCTGAGAGTCAAGGTGTGTTTTCTGGCTTGTACACTGAAACCCAATTGTAAAGATTTGGCAGCTTTGCTGGTTCTGTTTTGCATCTGGCTACTTGTGAGCGCTGAAGAACAGTGGGACTGTGAGGGTGGATTGCTCGTGCGGTCCTCTACAGGGCTCCTCTGTAGCGCTGGCTTAATATGCGAGTCCGAAGCAATTATGGTGTCTTCCCTTCTGGCTCTTTTTGTGTAGGAGGTCACCAGCAGCAAACATTCACTTGGTTGTTTCTACCTCCAACCCATTGTTTCTCTGGGCTAAAGCTAGCCTCCTAGTATGGCTTTGCTTTTGCTTTTGAGGCTGTGAACGGTGGCAAATCTCTTGCATTTCATGGTGTAGTGTTGCAGTAGTTAACAGTGAGTATGTTAGATGAGGAAATGCAACACCTTTGAAAGTTTGCTTGCTGAATTCACAATAGAACAATAGATGGGGTCCTACCAAGTTATCTAGACGACATCTGCCAAGGGACTGCCAAAATCAACATTCCACTGCTGTGAAGCATAGCGTATCTGACGCACGTTGCATTGCCTCTTTCTCAGTAAAACACAGGAACATCCTGGAGTTAAAGTTAGGTTAGATTAATTCTAAATGCCACCTTCCTCTTACTTCATTTTCTGTACTGAAAGTACGTTGTTCTAGGCAGCAGAGAAGAAAGGAAATAATGGAATATTCAAATATTGAAAGGAATAATAGGAATTAGGAACTTTTCAGCTGCAGTTGTGAGTTTGCAATATGCCATGCGGTGTCCAGAGAATTAGGAAGCGTACGCAGAACCCTTAAGCAGGACCTTTAAAGCAGCTAAGCATGTAGTCAAAAAACACCCAGGGAGCTCTGGAAACAGAGGTGTCATGGAGTTGGTTTCTCTGGTTTTGTCCAGTGGCTGCTAATTTCTGGCAACAAAAAAGGAAACATGAGCCTTGCCTTACTAAAGCATTTTTAAGGGCCTTTTTCACTGCGAGTTCTCTGGTACACAGTCAAGGCAAGTTCCTACTGCAGCATCTTCCCTGACCAGGGCAGCTCTAGTTGTGTCCTTTCCATGGCCTCTAAGTCTCATGAAACTTCATTACCTTTGTTGCACTTGGCTGAAGTTGGCCTGTGGGTTCAGAAGCAAATCTTGCACAAAGTATGACCTTGTAAATTGGGCTTTTCTAGAAGAAACCAGGCTGAACAACAGCAAAGCCTAGAGCTGTAAAGATGCCTATCTGCTAGAAGGCCCAAGTAGTTCAGGGTTAGGACTCTGACTTCTTGGTCTTGCTGGATAGCGAGTTATTGTGGGCAAAGCTGCACTTTGCTCTACAGCATTTTGGGTCGACTTCTTTGTAGTTTCATGACCTTGGACCTTGTCTTGCTGTGCTGCTGCTGGGCTGGATAACGTATTCAGAACAGGCCTGCCTTGGCTGAGAGATGCCAGCAGGTTGTGCTGCGGGGCAGCTCTTGGAGCTTGCCTGTTCCTCTGTCAGGGAAACCCCAAAGGGTCTGCTGAAACAGCCTC